TAATTAATTTCAGAAAATTTCTTTACGTTTCTGTTACGACAACAGATCATTCAAAAAACTTGTGAGAATAGCAAACATATCGTTTGTCCTATTTCTACACTGATTTGAGATTTGTATATAATACATTACTTATAAATAAATAAACAAGTGTATTGGTTTTTCTCTGAACTGGAAATATTTTTTGGTGTTTTAAGTTTGAGGTTTTGTTACCATATGGCACATATAATGCAGTAATTTTGAGCTACAGGAAAATTATCTTAAGGTGGTACATAACACTACAGGGAGAAAACTCTGTAAAAATCAGCTGAATGTTTTAATCATGTTCTATTGTTAAGGAAATATCAAGCTACTCAAAGATCAAAATTAGTGTTTGTCAAACTGCTATATATCCAATGAAATTTTTCCGATAAAGTGTGTGGTTTCAAGTTTTTTGAAATTTTTATATTTTTGTCAAAGGATCAAAGTAAATATTTTGTAAAAATTTTATGAAAATTAAACGAGCCAAATTAATTCTAGTCAAGGTGTTTCGTTCCACCATAAAATCTGATTTCTATCAAATAAAGGCTTAAAATCCCAATGTCAAATCCATAAAGATACCTTTAAAAGTTTCAAATATCAGTTTTTGGAATTTTGATTTAGTATCTTCAGTAACAGTTGATGGGATATTCATCAAGGTTAATTGTTTCAGTTCAACCAGGCAGCCATCTTGGATCTGTGGAGTCTCAAACCCAGCTATGGAACCGTCTGCTGTTGCTTTGATTTCTCTCAAATTATCTAAGGTTTGAATGGATTTCATTAGAACTGAAAAAGTAAATTGTATATAATAATTATTTGAGAACTGTCAGATGTTGACATAGTTAAAACGAGGTCAATTGAATATATGTCTATTTGTAGATATAATAATAATAAAATATACTTTTTCACTTTTTATGTCTTTTGGAAAATGTTGTTTGTGCTGTATTTAGACCCCTCTACCAAGAAATTTGTTTTACATGCACATGTATAAAAATTGCGGTTTTTATCCAACGCAATCATAGGTTTGAATGTTGTTTTCAATTTAGACTTGTTTATATTTGTAGATATATATATATAGATTCAAAGCATTTTATTCAGGAATAACTAAGGGCTTACTATATGTGTTGAACAACAAACAAAAATTAACAAGAGGCAGATCACTTTTTAATCTGGTTGGTAGAAGTGCAGCTCACTTGACCATTTCATTGAGGTAGTATCGTTCAGTATCAGAATGAAAATAACACTTTATAAATGTGATGTGTCTGAATCTCGTTTCAGAATTTATCTTTATCATAATTTTAATAAATTGCTCATACCCAAAAAATTGAAACTACTTAGGATGTATAACTACATGAACATGTGAATAATTTTATAATCAAACATGTCAAAAGGGGGCCATGATCAGGTATTTATTCATTTTTCTTAAACATGTTAATTATCCAAAGATATCACAGCTCATGTTGAGTTTGTCATTTACATGTGTACACATTTTCATTTTACAAGCACTGTGTATAAACCATTTGCTGGTGGACTATAAGGATATCATCAGCGCCGTAGTCAGTGCTTCAGTACTGACATCATTTACAACAAACCTTTCTTAAATATTCACTTGATACATGTAAATACAGAAATTATAAAGAAACTAAGGTTCCAACTCCTTCAGGCAAAGTTGACCTTAGACAGACTTTGAAAATATGAAATTATGGCAATTGAAAGCTAAGCTTTTTCCAATATATTTACAACATCTGACATTAAATTTGAGTAGACCATATAATTTTATTTCTCTAATTCTTCGTCAATTTATCCCTTTCTGCACCCATTGTATAAAAAAAAATTTAATCAACGTGAGGTTCGTTTGATCTCAGTTCTTCATTGGTTAAAATCCGATTATGACGTCGAATTTACTTGCTTTCCTCTGAATTTCCAATTGTGACGGCATGAAAAAAGGCGACCATGCCTGATGACGTCACATAGAAAGAACACATCTTTTTACAGATCATTCGAAAAGACGGAATAAGTTTGCCTGCATATTGTTTGAAAATCATTAGAGAAACAGATTCCACCACCAAATCTCGTGTAATACGATATTGATCCACTCTCGACAGTTAAATTTTAAATATTAAAAATTCAACTGTCTCGAGTGGATAAATATCGTATCACACTTGATGCAGTGGTAGAATCTATATTTATAGCAGGGTTTGTAAATTATATAACACATGTAACAGGAATCTTAAGAGCTTTTTTTCTAAGTAGGCAAGATTGAACTGTGCTTGTGTACCATCTTTTGGTCCATTCCTCAATCTTTTTCTTTTCAAATGCAGGTGAAGTTTTTCATGTGACTGGACAGCTTTGGTTGCTATGGCTACAAGTTCTTCTGTTTCTTCAACCTCTTTCATTTCCTGTCAATAAAGATTAATTTGTTAAAATCAGTCAGTAGCATTTCTTAAACACATATATTTTTATTCAAATAATCTATAAATTTTCATTCTCAATTTTATACTGCATCATTTATATACCATGTATACAAGTAAGTAACTTATAAGAAAATATAAGAACAATTTACTGAGAATTATTCTAGATTACAATGAAAGTATAAACTACAATAATATGTTCTTTCTTTGTGAATTTTTACACTATAAAGACTATTTAATAACATAATAAAAATGTTTATAACAATTATATTCAAAATCGAGTAGAGTCATGAGAGTATACAGATCAAACATGTCAAATGTAGCTTTAAAAATATTGAACAATAAGGTCATCATGTCATTTTCTAGCAAAAATTAGGGGAGGGGGTATATTTGATCCAGTGATCTAAGTAGTTCATCTACTGTATCACTATACCTGTTAACACTGATGATATGAGTTTAAACCCTGCATGAGGAAGGTGCTTTCAACTCCTATCTTAATCCATATTAATGGACTAGGATTGTCAGTTTTCCTGCTGAAGATTGGTGGTTATGCAACACCAACAATCAATCACTCAAATTGGTGAGAACCTAGCTTGCTCTCAAAATGAGGGAGAGGGGCACAGGGTGGGGTTACTTCAATATTTAGTTTGTAAGGGTGTGCCATTTTTTTTGCCTATAAAACATACCCATTTTAATATAACATTCACTGAAATTCAGTACCTATAGTTATATAAATATTTAAGAAGAATGACCTATACTAATATGTATACCATATTTAAAAAATGATTTTATATTTTATCGTTATATATACACATGGTTGTTGAACTTTGATGAATTGATTTAATTCAATATAATAATTGACCATTAATAATGTAAGATTTCAATATAACATGTATTATATGTACATGTATATCATACCCCAAATCAATATACAGTTATCAAACGTAAATGCATTTTAATATAGGATGCCATTAAAAAGGAGGGTCATTTTGATATAAACAGGCCTCTACAATAACTTTTTTTCCAACTTGCCCAATAGGACAAGTACATACCAAAACTTACTTGTCCGAATGGAATTGTAACTTGTCCAAAAAAAAAACCTTTATATTATCCTTTTTTGCATTTTAGATTGATTCAATGAACAAAATGAATTAAAACAATAGAACAAAATTTGATTTATATTTCTTAATATCCTTTTCAAAAATATTAGTCGAGAACAACTGAATCTAGTCATATGTCTAGTCACAGGACTAAGGTTCTAGTTTTTATCAATGCCAAAGACTCTTCACATCAGGCACAGTCTGGTAGGCCTGTCAGTCTACACTCTTTTGGTTTGTATCCTGGTCTTTTATGTTGATAAAATATTGATTATTATGATTAATGCCTTACTACTATCAGCTTTGTTTTAATATATTAAAATGTTTATTCAAACACAATCAAATATTGTTTTGTCTAAATATGATCATATGATTTTATGAATTTTATGGTCAATAATTTCTTCATTTTTATTTTAAAAATATTTTTGTTAAATAAAATTTTTTATTATAAAGCAACAGAACATGCAGAATAACATGGGGAAAAACGAGGTACTGGTTTTTCTTGGTTCCGAAATGTCTCAAACGGTGCCAAACTGTCTAATAAACATGGAGCCAATTCCTTTCCTTGCCAGTGCCGAACTGTCTTGTTACCTTATCTACAAAGCGCACCGCTGATTTCGATCAGTAAGACTGGTTTCGAGAATAGTATGCGTTTTATCTGTTATAAAGTATCTGACAAAGAACCAGTTTTAATTATCGATCGCAAGTAAACATGTCAAATTACTATTTATTTTTATCCTCTTTTCTTGTTTTTTGTTTATTACTTTGATCATCAAAGTTGGATTTAATTAATTTTCTACAGAATGATTTTACTTGTCCTGTCGGACAAGCTTGATATGGCGTTGACCTGTTTACTTGTCCGACCTTTTTTTCCTCTGCCTTAACATTTTCCATCTGAACTTATTATTTTATTTTAGACAAAAACTATATGTAGGACATTCGTCCTGAACATGCATGAAATATTTGCCACTGGACGTTAAGCAAACCAACAATCAATCAATATGTAGGACATAGTCTTGGTAAGCTGGCATTCAAGGAAGCGCCTTTCTCATATTATGACTGTATGATATATGGGCTAGGACTAGGTCCCGAAAAGTAGGTTAGGCCTAAGGGCCAAAAATTTCAATGCAAAATGAGGAGGAATTGTGAGAAAATAATATGATTAAGAAAACACGTACCATCTTTTCTTCTCAGCGTCAAAATATATAGTGTTAAAGCTTGCTATTAAAGCATTCACATTAACTGATGAAATTTGGGCTAAACCGATGAAAGACAGCGTTCATTGTCTTTTAATGTTTTGGCCAACTCCCAGTACAGTGTTATTTTAAACGGAGTGATGACAAGGATTAAAAATTTTCCGGAAAACTAAACATCCTTGTTTCGAGTTTGGTGTAAATTTTATAAAATATATCTCATTCTCAGCTAAGCGCTTTTGTCATAGACTAAACATAATTTGTACAGAAGCTTTTATTTTACTTTGAACATGAACGAAAACAAAAATTTTGGAAATTGCAAAGTGGGGATTTGCAACTTTATGTGCCCACCAGCTGAGATAGAGCTGTAAGATGATTATTTACTCCACGTGTTAGATTGATTTGAGAAAAATATATATTTAAATCAGCCTTGGAAGACGTATACAGAGTTATTTTCTATCAAATTTTATCTTGACATGGGATTTTCTCATGATGATGATGTAGTCCAAATAATTATGACGTCTTGGAAGGCTATTTTAAATTTTTGCTTTGACGCCTTCCTGCTGCTGCTGATGATGATGATGATGATGATGATGATGATGATGATGATGATGATGATGATGATGATGAGTTATAATGATATACAAGGTTATGTACTGATCTACAAATTATTCCAGTTTTTGCATATTTTAAATAAACTGTAGAAACTGACAGGCTAATCAAGCAAAAGACAATTTCTGCATGTACATAGTGTTTTTTCAATGGAATTCTTGTCTTTTTACCAATAAAAAAGGCAAGCTTGTGGGAAAAATATCAAGAAAATGTTATAAACACTTGTTGAAGTGATTACATTTTAACTTCTCAAATTGCTTGTTTCAGTGATTTTAAAAAGTCTGTGTCTATGGTTTCATGTCGATCCGGCCCCACGTCGATCCGGCCCAAGTCGATCCGTCCCACGTCGATCCGGCCCAACGTCGATCCGGCCCATATTTAAAGTCGATCCGGCCCCAATAAAAAAATATATTTATAAGGAATAAAAATAAAGATATATATAAGATATAAATGTTTATGAATTTTATTATAATGTAAAAGGTGTATGGTAAAAAAAAATGGCCTTTGACAAATATTTTCTTTAGATGAGTATAAAACAAGTAGGTTGATTATGTTTTCATTACAAGTTTTCAAGATTATTGGGTATAATTATAATAAAAACGTATATAACAGAATTTAGTACAATCAACAGACATCAACATTAATCAGCAGTAATTAGTATTTTCTTTCAATTGACTGTGATCTTAACAAGTCTTTCATCCTGTGTAATAACAAATAGTTACATACACAACGGTACAAGCCGATCCCCAAGCTGATACATACAAACTTTGTTTTTGTTTTAAGTTCTTAAAACTTCTCAAATTGAGAAATGTTGTTTGATTTGCCGAATCCTTTCTATAAAAGAGGAGACAGAATGCGTTTGCTTTTAATATCACAATGGCTTTTCCTTGTGTGGTATGTGACCAACATGTTAGACCTCGGCAGCATGCACTTCAGTGTGAGCAATGTTCAAAGTGGCAACACCGTCTCTGTAATACCGGTAAGTTTCTATTTTCACTTTTTGCTTTAATATAATCAAACTGTAATTTTGTATATAAGTCTTAAATATTTTTTTCTTTGTTTTCATCATTAAACCATAAATATGAAAAAAAAGTATATAGTTTTGTTTTAAATCTGGGAATATTAATTTGCGTGTTTTCAGGTGTAAAATGGTAAAAAGCTTATAAATTCTAGATAAAGATTGCTTTATTTATTCTTATTTGACTTTTTGTACGAAACTGAGTATTTAGATTAATAAAATATTTTAAAGAAAATAGTAAAGCGTACTATAGCTATCCGTTTAAATATTTGAATTATATATTTGCATCATATATTTGTATTATATATATTCATGAATTTGTATTATATATTTGTATTTTACATTATAAAGATAGATATTTATTATTTTTGTAATTCCTTTATAGGAGTATCTCTACTGGAATACAGACGCATGGTAAATGAAGAAATAGATGTGATCTTCATGTGCATCGAGTGTATGCCAGCCGAGCCAGAGGCAGCACCTGAACCAGAAGCAGCACCTGAACCTGAACCAGAAGCAGCACCTGAACCTGAACCAGAAGCAGTAAGTTAATAGAATTGTCTTACACAAATACTACTAAGTTATATATATTGTATTTAAATCAACTATTCTCCATGAAAAGAAAATCATATTATGTTGTTAACATCTTTATATTTAGCAAGGGAATAATTTAATCATTAAAAGTAAGTGCTATAAGGTTGTCATGTATACTTTGAATGTACCGTATCTTTTTGTATTGGAAGTGGTATAATATAGAATAATAAATTATGAAATTAAGTGTGTTTTTATGTTTTATTCGTTATTAAAATATATACTGATTCAATCACATTTATCAAGGTGATAATTTAATTATCTAATTTAACTAATTAATGTGTACTTTATTTACTTTTATTTATGTTTTATCGATCTCTTATAAATGTTCATTTACTAAAATATATACTATTAAAACAATGGTCTTATGTTCATTCATGTTTATCTTATAGGTACTACCAGACCAGTCCTTCAATATTTCACTGGCTATTGAAGAAGTGGAAGACATAGTAGAAAGGTAACTTTTTTTATATAATTTTAAAATTCGAAAAGTATATTCAACCCGAAATTGTGTTGAACTTATGAAACTATATACATTTATCAAATGTATTTCTGTGAAAGACTGGTTAAAACAACTATTGTATATTTATTTATCCTTTGTCCAAATATTAATTAACGATATTGTTGAATCCGATTATCCAAATATTCAAATAAACTTATCTGATATAAAAACTAATTATGATATTCAATTAATTTTGTAGTGACATAGAAGACCCAGAACTTCCAGATAACGTTGTCGGCAACAGACCAGTAACATACCACATAGAAGAGCAGGGTAGTAAGAGAAGATTCAAGAAACTAGTTAGCAGTGACGGTTTTGCTTACACAGTCATGGTAAGTATTTAATATAATTTAATTCATTGTTTAGAGCGCAAAAAAATAAAAAGATATGGTTTGAGTGCCAATGAGACAAATAACTATCCAACAGATTGTAACATTTAGATATTGTACGGTCTTCAACAATGAACATAACTGGGCTTATATTAATTTATATTACAAATGTAATTGAGAATGTAAATGGAGAATATGTGAAAGAGACAACAACTTGGCCAAAGAGCAGACAACAGCCGAAAATTTGTTTAATAGTGTCATTGTTATATTATAATTTATGCTTTATTTTTACAGAGATCAAGAACCACAGTCACCCACTGGCGTTGTAGTGTTCGGAGCAAGTCCCTATGGTGTAAGGCAACAGTTGTGCAACGTGGTGGCATGTTTGTTCCTGGGGTGACTCAACATGTGCATCCATGTGATCCAGGTCTTACCAAGAAGACTGTAGTTAGAGCAAAGGTAAACTATACTATATAACAACACATTAATTCAATATATATCTGCAATTCTATTTTACATCTCTGTAAATTAAGTTCATCAAACACTGTCTACTATACATCCCTAAGCATTTGAAGGTGTTAAATTTTTATTATATGTTACTATAACTTTCAGAATAAATTATTGATTACAGAAGTTTGGAAACATAATAAAATGAAATTTATATTACTATAGATACTGATTAATAGTTATTTTTTAGGTAAATATTATATTCTATTTATTTATTTTAGGCTCTTATAGCAGCAGAACAACAGCCGTATGTGTCAGCTGGTGACATCGTCGACACCGCAATGGAAGTAGTAAGCGACGACGACTTCAACCTACCCAACCCAGGCTATGTAGAGCGTTCAGTAAACAGACTTCGACAGAAATTGCGTCCAGAGGAACCTAAAGATCTGACATTTGAGGTAAGAATTATTTATATAAAAAAGAAAGCAAAAAGAAGATGCGCTATGATTGCTAATGAGACAACTCTCCACAAAAGACCAAATGACACATAAATTTACAACTATAGGTCACTGTACTGCCTTTGACAATGAGCAAAGCCCATACCGCATAGTCAGCTATAAAATGTAGAACAATTCATATATTATACTATATCAACTTCATCAGTATAAATATTGTAATACTATATATTGTCTTCCGTATACTATTGTATTATTATGAGTTTCATCATTTTCCATACCACAATAAATATTTTAAATTATTAAAACTCATTTCAGATCAACACAGCATTTCTTAAGTGTGATGGTTTTGTGGTCGGGGATGTTACAGTCAGGGACAAGCGTCACATCATGTTTGCCACCCAAGAACAGCTGCAACTACTACAAACTGCAAAGAAGTGGTACCTGGATGGTACTTTCAAAGTAGTGAAGAAGCCTTTCTACCAGCTGTTCTCCATCCATGCCTTCATCCAGAAAGACAACTGTATGAAGCAGATACCTCTACTCTTCGTCTTGATGTCTCGCAGAGAGAAGAAAGATTACAAAGCAGTGAGTATATAACCATTTATGTGTTTTATACGGAGTATATGTCAATAAGACCATGAGAACATTATAGTACCAAAATCTATTGGGTATATGTCAATGAGACAACTATGCATCTTTTGTTGATTTATTACATATTTATATATATATTATTATGATGTATTACAATAATAATTCCATGGATACAAAGTGATTAAGATTTCCTATATAATTTTAATTGTTTTTTTTATAGGTATTCACCAGACTTGTCGAACTGATCCCTCAGCATAGAGTGCAAGCCTTTTGCTTAGATTTTGAAGCTGGTAAGTATATATACATATTTTTAGATACAAGAAGATGTGGTATGAGTGCCAATGAGACAACTCTCCATCCAAGTCACAATACATAGTATTAGTATGAATATTCACAACAAAGTATTCGCTTCATGACTATGTAGATTTGTTTCTAAGTATTATCTGACATCTTCGATTTTTGAACTGTATGTGATTGATTTTTATTTAATATATATATATAATGTATTACATATAATTGAAAAAAAACTTATATTATTCGATTATCTTGCAGGAGCCTGGTCAGCAGTAAAGTCCGTCTTTCCAACCGCCGACATTAAGGGATGTGCCTTCCACTGGGGTCAGGCTGTGATGCGCAAAGTTGCCAACTTGGGATTAAAGACAGCATACTCTTCAGACAAAGCCGTCAACGTGTTCATCAAGAAGGTGTTAGCTTTACCGTACCTGCCAGCAGGACACATCCTCCCAGCTTATAGACAACTTACAGTACCACCTACATCACCTCTTCTTCACCAACTCATGGTCTACATCAACAGAGCGT